GGTCCTGGATTCAATCCCCAAAGGCCCACCCCAAAAATGTTTTTAGGGCTATGACAAATAAATGATTGCATGTAGGGATAACAATCAGGGGAGACATAACTGTAAAGACGCCTGCTTTTCCTGCTCAGATGCACCATCAAGCTAAATAAATCAACCCAGGGCCGAGGCAAAGGTAGGAAGAACTGGCAGTTGAGAATGTGAACTCTGGCCTCTGGCTGCTGGGGTTCCAATTCCAACTGCGCCTGTTCCTACCTGTGTGGCCTTAAGCAAGTTATTTAACTTTTTCATGCCTCTTTTTTTTTTTTAAATCTGAAAAACAAAACGGGAATGATAGGACAAAACGCACAGGGTTCTCCTTGTAAACTGTGTGGATTTAGAGCAATGTCTGACTTATTACATGCTGTTTAGGAAGGACGCCGTTATTATTATTCAAAAGCAGTGCCTTCAGAATCTGCAAACAAGCCTTGAAACTGGGGGAGTTGAACAAGGTTTCTGGATATAAGGTTAATATACAAAAATGAAAACTAGGGCCAGAGATGCAGCTCACTGGTTCCATCATCTGCCTCACAAGCCCAAGGTCCCCAGTTCAATCCCCAGTACCAAAAATAAAGGAAAACAAAAATGAAAATTGTGCTGGGGATGAGGGCACTGGCATGTAATCCCAGCTATTTGGGAGGCTGAGGCAGAAGGATTAAAAAATCAAACCCAGCCGGACGTGGTGGCGCGCACCTGTAATCCCAGCACTCCGGAGGCTGAGGCAGGAGGATGCTGTGAGTTCGAGACCAGCCTGGACTATATAGTGAGTTCCAAGTTAGTCTCAACTACATAATGAGGCCCTGTCTCAACAAACAAACAAAAAAAGATCAAGCCCAGGGGCCAGGGATTTAGCTCAGTGGCACCACGCCTGCCTCACAAGGTCAAGATCATGAGTTCAATCCCTGGTACCAAAAAACAAAACAAAAGAAAGATCAAGCCCAGCCTGGGAAATTTAGTGAGAATTTGTCTCAAAATTTAAAAATTAAAATAGATGAAAATGTAGTTCAGTGTTCTTCGGCATCAAATCCTGGTATTGCTAAAAGTAATTTTAAAAATTAACAAAAAAACAGTATCTTCTGTATATGCGCAGAAACAAAGTTAGAAAATGTAGTTCTTTAATTTAATTTTGTTTTTGCTGCTGAGGATTGAATATGTGCTAAGCATACATTCTACCACTAAGCAACACTCCTGCCCAGAAAATTTAATTTTTAAAATGACCATTGGATTCTGGCGCCTGTCCAGAGTTCGATCTTGGTACCAAAATAAATAAATAATAAAAAATAAAATGACCGTTGGAAATATGGCTTATTTATTTATTTTCCTGAATAAACCTAACAAATATTCATGATCTTTAGAAAAAAAAAATTGCAAACTCTCATTGACAGATAATGAGGGAAGATTTAAACGAATGAAACTATATATCATATTTATAAATTGTCAAATTTACTACTATAAAGCTGGTAAGTGTCCCTAAATTGTGCCGTAGACTTAATACGCTTCTGATTAAATTGCAACAGGGTTTCAACAGACATTGCCAAGCTAATTCTAAAACATACAGGAAAGAGTGAAAGACCTAGAAACCCACAACATTGTCTGGTGGTGGCAGGAGTGTTACCCAACCAGGTATCCAGCTACTTCTCATGCCCTGATGAATAAAAGTGTCATATTAGACCAACGGACAGCAGCAAGGGCCTGAAAACCGGTCCACACACACCGAGAAACTTGATGGCCCACAGGAGCGGCACTGCGGGCCTCTGGGGGAAAGATGTACTCAGGAAGAAGCACCGAGGCCCTCGGCAATCCACAGAGAGAAGGAATTACAAATGAGTTCCCAATTCAAGCTGAAAACAGATATCAACCCTAGGTGGATTAAAGACTTAAATGTAAAAGGAAAAACTAAGACCACTGGAAGATGAAAGAAAGGGTGATTTTCAAGATTCAGCTTGGGGACTGTTTCAGCCTCCTGGGCCCCTGTCTTTACAACCGTCTGTGTGTCCCTCCAAGCGTCTTGGAATCAGTTTAATTCATCAGCATCATCTGCTCTACCTTACACGCACAGCCATACCCCCACCCCATCATGATGGTTCACCTGCACCTCGAGTCTGAAAATTGGGGCCAGTGAAATAAGACACTTCTCAGAATAACTACAGATGCCCAGTTACGTGAAGAAAGGCTTCACATTGCTGGCCATTAGAGAAATGCAAACTGAAAAACTGAGGTTCTACCTTTCCCCCGCCCCAAAGAATGGCCATCATCATCAAGAAATCAAACAATAACAAATGTCGGTGAGGTTTTGTGAGGAAAGGAACCCTCTCCGCTGCCATGGGGGAGTAAACTAGCACAACCACCATAGAAATCAGTATTCCTCAGAAAACCGAAACATTTGACCCCAGCTCTTCCCTTTCTAAGCATATTCCTGAAAGAACTAAAGACCTTCTAGCACAGGGACGCAACAGCAAAATCTTGGAAGCAGCGTATATTCCCATCAACAGGCGAATGGATAAAGAAAGTGCAGTGTTTACACACAGTGGAGCACGACTCTGCACCAAGGGAAACAAATTTGAGCCATTTGTGGGAGAGGTATGCACCTCAAGACCATCGCGTTCAGTGAAATAAATCAGACTCACAAGCTGAAATATTGCACGGTGCCTCTTATAGGAGAAATTCAAAGTATAAATAAAGAACAAAATGAGATATGATAGGAATCAGGGAGACAGAGCTTTCTCACATGGGAAGGGGATGGAGAGATGGTGGAAAAGCAGAGGAGAGGGAAAAAGAAGAAAAAGGGAACGGAGGTGTGTTGTGTACGTGTGTCCACTCCACACAAGGAGCGCAAACATCGTGCGCTGCAAATAGTGCAAATAAATAAATAAATAGGAAGCAACCAGGGAAAACAGAAGCCAGGTCTGGCGGGAGGTTGAAGGTCATGGGGCAGCCCCTCAAAGGGATTATGGGAGCTCAACTTCTTTCTCTTCCTCTTTTGTATTCCTGGGCCATGAGGTGAGCATGTAGCCCAGGCTGGTCTCGAACTCACATGATCCTCCTGCCTCAGCCTCCCGAGTGCCGGGATTACAGGCGTGCACCACCATGCCCAGCGTGGTGAGCAGCTTTCTTCCCTCACTCTCTTCCTACCACAGAGCAGCGCCTCCCGCAGGCCCAAAGCAGTGAAATCCCCACAACTGTGGACCAAAATAGCCCTTTTTACTATATAAACTGGTTCTCTTGGACATTGTTACGGTAACAGAAAGCTGACCAACAACAGCAAGCCACCATCACCTGTTGGGCCTGAATTTTGAGTCACCTCCTCACTGGTCTCCCACTCTTGCCCTTGTTCTAGCACAGCACCCTGAGTGATCCTTTTACCTAAATCCAGCAGAGCCATTCTGCTTATAGCCCCACTGTGGCTTACTATCTCAGTCAGGGAAAAAACCTCCCTGGGGTCTTCAGACCTCACTTGCTTCCCCGCTGATTTCCCCTCTCACACCTCTGTGTGGCTACACCTGCCTCACCAGCCTCTGGCAGCGAGCACCAAGGCCAGCCCAGGCAGGTGGAGCCAGAGAGGGACACACAGACGGGGAAAGTGAGAGCAGTGTGCCGCTGTTTCCAGCGTTTGCCAGTTTCCAAAGGGTAAACACTGCTCCCATGGCCAATCTTAAGATAGCATTGAAATGCCAGTCAGTTCTAGGAACTGTAACAATCGAGCCTTGTGAGCGGGTGCACGCCGGTTCGCAGAGTCCAGTGCACCCTTGGCACAGCGCTGCTGGCCAGCTTGCGTGGTTCTATGCTGTCGTTATTCTCTTATGTTTATGGAGAGGTTTTCACGAAAAACTGTGTGTAAGATCTATGGATGATCCTTGCGGAAGAGCAAGGGGGAGAGGCAGGATCCTGGGGCCCAGAATGGGGACAATAGGAGCTGTGTTCTCGCCCTCTCCCCCAGCACCACTCCTCTCTCAACTCAAAGCAAAACTCAGAAACACTTCCAGTGTGTGTCTGGTTCCTCGGGTGACCGGGAGCCAAGCCAGGTAGGCGAGGTCAGCCAGGGCCTGGAGCTCTGGAGATGGGGAGGAAGGAAAGAGGGCCTCAGCGAGGCTGTGCTGGAGCGGAGGCCCGTGTGCCGGCCATGACCCTACGTGAGCACTGTGAGAAGTCCTCCCTCAGTCTACAGGGGCACAGGGCTGAGGTGACTGAGATCAGACCTCAGGGTCAGAAGAAAACCTTGGACCTGAGTTCCAGATCCACCTCAGATTACTAAGAGGTCCCAGGCAACTGGCCTCAAATCCACCTATAAAATGGACCTACTCGCTGCCACCACCACCTGCCCCCAGCTAGGCAGGGCTTCACGGACCCAAAGGAAACCTCCTCTAACACCACGGCCTCTCACCATCCCCCCTTTTCCCCAGGTGGTGCCCCTCACCCCAGGCTCTGGGTAAGGGAAATGGCCTGGGCAGGCACTGAGGGCTCCCCAGGGCCATAGGCCAAGTGCCTTCATTTCTTCAGAGTCCTGCCCACAACCCAGGGAGGGCCACTCCATCGTCATCCCCCCAGTGGACCCCGGAGGCAGCTGAGGCTCCAGAGGCCAAGGAGCCTGCCGAAAGTTGCACCCAGCCAGAGAGCCGCTGAGCTGAGCTATGAACCCAAGGAACCAATACTGTCACTGATCAAGGGTGTCAGGCCATTGGGGCTGGGCCTCCCACTGGCAGATTAAGAAGCCGGAAGTGTCCCGGACGTGAAGGGCTGACAGCCACCGCCCACCTGCACAGTGAGGACAGACTAGCCAGGCCCTGGACACTCCCAGCACCTATGCAGGATGGCCCAGGAGGGAGAATGTCCTTGGGAACATGATGTGAGCATCCATGGGGGTCCCGGATCTCTCAGGGGGTGGACACCCACAGGCTTTCTGTTTCCCTGCTCAATGCCCTGGGCCCATGGGTGTTCCCAGCCCCTGCTCTTGCCCTCTGGCTGACCTTGAAACAAGTTTGACCGCATGTTGTAACCCAGATCATAGTAGTCTGAAAAGATGGAGGAGATTTTCACAGGACTCTGGGTCCTACTGGACCACGAGCTTCTCTTCTTCTGGCCCTCCAAGACTTCACTGATGACCCTCCGAGCCTGGTGGACGAGCAGCAAAGGATGGGAAAGAGGCCCCCTAACTCCCCTCTCTCTGACCCCTCTCACCTCTCACACAGCCCTAGATGGCAGCCCTCAAAACCTCCACGGCTGAGGAGCTGGAGGATTGGAAGCCCTGCCCCAGCCCCACTCCTTGGTCCCTCCCGAGTGGGCCAGGAGTGTCAGGGATGGTGGTCCTCCTAAAGCCTGCCCCTACATTGAGCTCTACTGTGTGCTGTACCAAGGGGGCCCCACGGCGTGACACTATTCCCACCATTTTATACCTGAGACCACTGGGCTCGGGGGAGGCCAGACTCACCCACTCCCGTGCGTGGCTGGGGACCCAGGAGCCTTGGTTTGCTCCCCACAACCACAGCAGCACACACATCAAAGCCCTTAGCTTTCACCCAGGCCAGCTCCTTTCTTGTAGTAATGGGGAAACTGGGGCCTGAGAGGTAAAGCCTAGACCTTGGAGGCCTAGGGAATCTGGGTTTGAGTTCCAGTTCTGCCATATAGCACCTCCTGTTCCTCTTTGGGCCTCAGTTTCTCTACTTGCAAAATGTAGTAGAGGGTAGACCTACAGGGTCTTTGAAGTAGACCTTCACTGGCTCAATGATCCTTCTGATACAGGGCAGAAAAACCAGGTGTTGACTGGAGCCTGGGACGACAGCACCCATGGCAGTGATGAGAGGGCCAGTGAGGGGTCAGCACCACACCTTCAATTCAGACGGGCACAAGTCCCAAGGGTGGGCAGGGCGTTTCAGATTGTAACCTCCCAGATTGTCTGATGATCTGATGGGTGAGGTCGCTGTATCTTCAGATGACAAATAGAAAAGGAGCCTGGGAGGGCCTGACCTTCAGTCTTAGTGAGCAGAGCTCCTCCCAAGCAGGGCACACACCTTCTGGGCCTTGGTTTTACCAGGTGTTTAAAAGGAAATACTGGGATGGGGATTTAGCTCAGTGGTTCCACAGCCTGCCTTGCAAGTACGAGGTACCAAGTTCAATCCCCGGTACCAAAACAAACAAAAAAGGAAATACTATTTCCTGCCTGGCTAACAGTACCATATGGTTGCTATGAAGGTTGAGATGCTGGCTCTGATTATGTGTCAGAATGCCAGAGCAGGGAGGTTGCTTAGCATTTGACCAGAAATAGCAGGTGAATTTTATCTCCAATTTCAGTTGATTAGAATTGCCTGCCTAGAATGCCGTATCAGGTGGGAAGGAGTGTCAGCATTGATTAGTCATGTCTGCCACATATGCAGGAGGGGCCAGCTGTAGTCTGTGTGCCAAGAATTTGTCAGCCCAATCTAGCCTCTCTGCTTCACTTTACAGATGTAGATACTGATACCCACGAGGGAAAGTAACTTATCCAAAGTCACCCAGAATTCAGGAGCAGAGCCAAGATTCAAACCTAGGTCTTCTGATTCTCAATAAATGTCGTCTGTCTGCTAGGTGTTGCCTATCTTTGGATATTTCTGCAAAATGAAAATGTCCAATTCAAACAAAAAGCTATATAAATGAAAAGTCATTTGGGCCAAGGCACTAAAATCTGCCCACCCAGTTTGGATTCTGGTCCCACACAACTGAGTGAACTTGGTTAATTTAACCCATCTTAGCCTTTGGCTCTTTACCCATAAGAAACAGGGATAATAACATGACTTTCCTTACAGGGTTGTTGCAAAGATTGGGCGCTTGCTTATACGCAGGAATGTGAACAGTGCTTGCCCCTGGCACACAGCAGTGCTCAGTAAATACTGTGTCCTGCTGTAGCTACTACTGGAGTTGCCCGGTTTCTTCTGTGTTCTCATTAAGTCTCATGAGGGACCCTCTGCCACCCTTAGCCTCCCGGCCCCTGCGTAGACACCTGCTCCTCGGAGACCAGCTGGTCCACCTCTTTGCTCCCAAACTTGTGGCGAATGTTGTCAGGGATGATGCTGCCCTTCTGGCTGGGAGGCGAACTCCTTCTTCGCTCCTGGGTCTTCGCGTTGGGGCCTTCGTCCTGCCGAGGCCCCTTCAGGAGGGAAACGCAGCTCTCCTTTGAGGAGGGTCTGGAGTCCCGTTTCTTCAGAGTCCCAAGCCCTGGGCCAATCCCCAGACAGTCCTTGCTGGCAGGGCTTGGCGGGGGAGGCCGGGCTTGCTCTAGGTGGTCTTGTCCTTGGGAGCTGCCTCTGGGGCTTGAGGAAGGCGGGGTCTGGGGCTTGAACTTGGAGGTGTCCATGCCCGGGGGGCTCCCCTTGCTGCTGTTCAGGGGGCTCCTGGGCAAAGGGGTTGCACCTGAACTCAGGGAAGAGAGACAGAGGGAGGGAGGGAGACCCACAGACAGATGAAGAAAGTGGAGACATTACGGGCACAGAGGCAGCTGGGGTTGGGGGAGTCACAGACACGGCCCAGAGAGCCAGGGGCAGGACCAGGGGGAAGGACACAGAGAAGCTAGAGAGAGACAGAGAAGTGGCCAGACTTCAGGCCAGGGCTGTCTCACGCTGCTTTTGACACTCGGGGCTACAGCCTCAGCCTGTGTGGCCTTGAGGCCCAGTCTTACGGTCTAGCAGCAGTGTGTCCTCTTAGAGACATGGAAATAATGGCGCATCTTACAGCCACTGGACTGCAACTTAGAGCACATTTTGTTTGGTTTGTTTTGGGGTCCTGCAAAGTAAACCACAGGCCTTCCCACCGAGTGACATCCTCAGCCCTCCTCATCTGTTTATTTTTTGAGACAGGTTCCTGTTACGTTGGCTAGATTGGCTCAAACTCACCACCCTCTTGCCTCAGCTTCCCAGAATGCTGGGGCTATAGGCCTGCACCACCACACCCGGGCAGAACACACCTAACAAGTGTGCACATTCTGTCTCAGTGGGCAACCTGCTGCCACCCTCAGCCCAGGTCACAGCTGCAAACTGCTGAGCTTCCCTCCAAGCCACTCCAGAAGGGTCCTCTGATCGTCCTCTTAAAAGATGCCTAGTTTTGCTTCACTTCTGTCTATCTCTGGGGTCAGAGTCTATGTGTTGCTGTTAAAAACCAAGCCAGGGCTTCTGTCCTGTAGCAATGGAGGCCGAGCTTCCCTTCCCACACCAGCAACCCCACTGCTCCTCTCTCTGGCCACTGGGCCTGCAGCTTGGTCCAGTTTATTTTTTATTTTTTATTTTTTTTTTGTACCAGGGATCAAACTCAGGTCTTTGTGCTTGCAAGGCAGGCAGCAGAACCACTGAACTAAATCCCTGGCCCCAGTTTAATTTTTTAAAAATCAGCAGGGAGCACAAATTCAGGCCCCCACTGTGCTGTCACTGAGAGGCACTGCTCTGGGGGCCCCTCACCCACCCAGGGGGGTGGTAGACTCTCCCCAGGGTACAGGGCACAAGGGAGATGCCCACGCTCCCCTGCTTACTTCCTCCTGGCCTTTCCTCCTCCCCACCCTTTGACCTTGCTGGAGTCATTTACAAAAGGTGAGGGGAAAAGTTTTCCAGACCAGATGGTCCCTTCCCTCCTGCTGAGCTGTGCAGTAGAGGTCTCTGGGGACAAGAGAGACCTCCAGGAGGGCATGGGGTCCCTCCTTAAAGGAGCAGAAGCAGACAGCAAAGAGTGAGCGTGCTCAGTCTCCTGCCTGGTCACCTCCAGCCCTTAGCCTGCTCCTGGGAAGACTGAGACCCAGCACAGGCTGGGGTGTAACCCAGTGAGAAGGCCCTGGGTCCAATCCCTAGCGCTATGCCTCCTCCTCTTCCTCCTACTAATTAATGATGACACAGATTATCAGTGTCAGGTTTGCCAAAAGCCAGAAGTCAGAAGATAAAAGTCCTAGTGTCATTCTGGGCAGTGGAAGAAGCTTCCAGCAGGAGTGGCCTCAAACTCCTAGGCCTGCCGGGTCCCCATCCACCTGCAACCCAGCCACCCTCACTCACCACAGGGGGACTCTTCTCAGAGCTGGCCTGCCAGGACCCCCAAAGCCAAGCTCCATCCCCTCCCCAGCTTTGTCAGCTCTGTCCCTCCCTCCCTGGGCCATGGCCCAGCACCTGTTCCCCCCGCAGCTGGGCTGCTCTGCTGTGGTACGTGGGCGTGGCTCCTCCGGGACAGGAGCGCCTGAGGATGGGACCGCAGGGAGTCAGAATCCCCAGGCCTGGCCGGACAGGAGAGGCTCAGCTACTCCTTTCCTCAGGCCAACAGGAGGCCTGGGAGGACGAGTGGGGACCATTCCTGGCTGTGTCACGGCCACATCCCAGCCTACCTGCTCCACGGCCAGGCTCCATCGACTCTCGCTCTGAGGCAGGTATTTCCTAGCTTGGTCCTGCAGACAAAGCGGCACACTTCACGTTCCCCTCTCAGACGACAGAGCCTCCTGAACAAGGGACAGGCCCAGCCAACAGGGAGGCCCTTGGCCAGGCCCCCACGTTACTGCTGCTGCCTTCTGGCATGGCCCGAACCATGCACCCATCACAGGGGCCCCCCGCAGACTCCCCGCCCTGTCCCTAGCTGCTCCTAGGACAAATGCTGCAGTGAATGCCCAGCCCCCACCCTGCTAACCTCGGCCTTCCGAAAATAGAGCGCTGGAACACCGCAGGCTGCTCCCTCCTGGGCTGGGAAGGGAAACCCAGTGCAGGACCCAGGGAGCCCCTCTAGTGTCTCCCAAGGCCTCTGCAGATTTCATATTTGTGGTTCTTTTTCCACGGGAAATCTTTTCTTTATTTCTCTTATTTTATCACACTTGGGGTTTTTATTATGCTTCTGTTAGATTAGTTGGTTGGTTGGTTGGTTTTGTGGGGTTTGTTTGCTTGGTTTGGTTTTTTGAGGCTAGGCTGGCCTTGAAATCACTATGTAGCCAAACTTGGCCTTAAACTCAAAGCAATCGTCCTGTCTCGGTCTCCTAAATTCTGGGATTACAGGTATGAGCCACCACACCTGACTTTTATCCTGGTTTTTGCATGTCGGAGTTGAACAAAATAAAACCAAGCCCTACGAGCAAAGATTCTCTATAATAAGAGAGAGCTGGAAAGGGTCTTTGAGAACTGTCAGTAAGTTTATAGTGGGTAGAAACCAGGTCAAATCTATTCCCTTGAAAAATTTCCCAGCAAAACAGCCTATTAATTTTGACATTATAATTATTTGGGGCTGGAGATAGAGCACGGCCATCAGTTAAATTTCCAGTGCCGAAAATAACTATACTAATATTAATCTGAGGATCATGTGAGTTCTGATGTGACAACCAGTGACCCCTGCTCCCTGCTGTTCTCGCCCTGTGCAGCCCCCTTGAACGTGGCTGGACCTGGTGATTTGCTATGACAAAAGTAGTGCGACATCGCTCCTGGATGAGATTAGCAGCTCCTGTCTTGTTTGCCCTCCTCCTTGGCTCCCTTGGTCGCTGGGCCTGAGGAGCAGCTGCACTATGGGGAGACCCCTGTGCCACTGAGCATAGGTGACCTCGGGCCAGCCACACGTGAGAGACTCAGACCCTTGTGCTAAGATCTGGATGAATCCTGCCCCTGAGGGGACTTGGGACTGGACCCTCCTCCTGTTGGTCCTCGATGTGAAAACACAGCCCAGACGACACCATCACTGCCACCTGTGTGGATGGTGTCACATCTCCAGCAGGAGCTTAGTGTGGAAGGCGGCTGCCATCGGTGACTCCATCTGGTTTTATTCTTGTCCTCTGCCCTTCTCTGACTATGGCCTTCACTCTGCATTCCTGTGACCCTGCTGGTTTTTCCATGTGGATTCTGGGAATGAGCTGTTGACCACAAACTTGACCCAAAGCAAGAATGCCTGCCCTCAAGATAAGAGCTTGAAACACCTGCCTGCCTGGAGCTCCCAGAAAAGCCTATTTCTGCAGGAAACCCCAGCCTGGGTCTTCATATAAATACCTCCACTTCTCCAGAGACCTAGAAGGGGGAACTTGAGCCATTAAAATGTCGCCTCCTTCCAGGTTTCTAGCAACTCAGTGAAGCCTGTTTTCTTTAACCGCAACCCTTTTGTCTTGGGAGTTGGCTTTGAGAGCTATTGAGCTTCTAAGAAAACAGTAGAAAGTGTGAGATCATAAACTTGGACTTTGGCTTAAGCACTTAGGTTTAATCTACTAACTTGATGGCCATTTGTTACACAGAAGTAGATGACAAATATGTATTTTGTACTGAGAGTTGGTGTTGCTATAACAAAGAGCTAAGAATATGGGTGTGACTTGGGGACCATACAGCAGGCAGAACCTTGAAGGATTCTGAGAAACAGAATAGAAGAAGCCTGCACTGCCTCCCAGCCTTAGAGGATGCTGCCAGGTAGGGCACAAAAAGAACTAGAGACCATGTTATTAGCAGCAAAAGGAAGAAAGGTCCTTTATACACTGGCAGAAACTTGGTGACATTATCATCCAGGGATGTGGCAGATGACAGAATATGTCACTAAGGAACTGAGGGGTTCAGCAAAGGACATTTCCACACAGCCTTGGAGGTGCCCCCTGGTCCCCTTCTGCTGGGACAGTGAGAGGTGGAAGGAGGGGGAAACTGAGAACTGTGCCTAGGAAGTTGCAGGGTTTGAGAAATCCCATCCTCTCCAGATGTCAGAAGGTGTAAGTTTCAGAGAAAGTTCTGGGGCACTGCGAGGAAAAGGAAGCCACCCAGAGACTGAACGTCTGTCATTAAACCTTAGAGCAAAGGAGCGGGTGTTTAAATCCACACACAGGGCTGTGCCTCACTCCCCTCTCTGTGGAACTCCGGGTCCTCTGGCAATCACAAGGGCTCCCCGGTACAGAGAGGGGTGGCTTCTGTCCAGTGGGGTGGCCTCTAAGTGTCACAGCTTTTGAGGAAACCTTATTAGTAAAAGTACTGCCAGCCAGAATGAAAGGAACAGAGGTGGGACAAAGTGAAAGAGACAAAGATTAAAAAGAAAAGACACCTCAGCTGGATGTGGGAGTCCTCAGGGCAGAGCTGGTGGGTGAAGACCCAACCCAAGGCCACACTCAGGGTGTGCAGGGCTGGAGTTCAGAAGCTGTGGACCGAGCTGACTCCTCAGGTCTCCTTCCTCACTGTTGAGTGCAATGCCTCATCATGGTGCCTGAGGTAACTAGAGAGACAGCCAAGCCACTAGCACAGGACAGGAAGGTCTCCCAGGAGCAACACCGGGGCCCCCAACACTCCTGAGCCTGATTTGTCCTATGGATTCTCAAGTGTGACCAGCACTGTCCCCAGATGAGACTTTGGAGATCCCGGAGCACATGCGTGGGCATTGCTAGTGGAAGGAACGTAGATCACTAGGAGCCAGAGGATGGACAGTGGCAGGCGCCAACTGTCCCTGTGACGCCCCTTGTCTCAGGGTAACTTCCTCCCCCTGGGTGAGGGTGACCTAGGGATTTGTTCTGACCAACAGAACAGGGCCAGTTGAGCAATGTCACCTCCAAGCTGCACCAGATGGACTCTTGTCTCGTTCTCACACCGTCTTCAGATGCTGCTTCCTCCCCACTCCTGTGACCCGGGGTCCCTGTGGAGAAGCCACGTGGCAAAAACTGAAGGGGCCGCGGCTGCCAGCTTGTGAGGAGCGGAGTTCTGCATGCGAGCGATCCTGAAGAGGATCCTTCTCCAGTTGACCCTGTAGCTGAATCCCAGCATCTGGACCCGCATCTCTGGCCCTCAGAACTGGAAGATGATTAATGCTATCATTTTATTTATTTATTATTTGGTAATGAGGATCGAACTCAGGACCTTCCACTTTCGAGGCAGGTGGCGGCATCACTGAGCTAAATCCCTGGCCCCAGTGCTATCATTTTAAGCCACTGCCTTCCAGCGTGACTTGTTACACAGTAAAGGGTGATCGATACAACACCTATACCAGGTCCTCCCACAACTGGTCAATGGGTGCAGCTTCACAAGGCCTGCTGAAGAGTTCGGAGTAACTGTGATGGCCAAAGTGGGGGTCAGAAAAGATGTAGACGGTGAGCATGGTGGACACACTTGTAATCCCAGCACTTGGGAGGCTGAGGCAGGAGAATTGCTGTGAGTTTGAGGTCAGCCTGGGTTACCAGCCTAAAAACCACATAATGAGACCCTGTCTCAAAAAAACGAAACAAAAAAGGGGGAAAGTTTTACACAGGTGGCATTAAGAGCCACATATCTTCAAGTTAGTGTTCTCCACCCATCTCATCCCCACCCCAGCCACTACCCCTTTAACGCGCTCTGTGGGGCTCCTTCTCTGCCCCAGTGCCACTGCCAGTCAGGAGCAGCATGGCCCAGCTGGCAAAGAAGGGTGGACTCACTGCCAGTTCTGACCTGGAGGAAGGTCCCGAGGGACCTCAGTGAAGGCAGGCGGTGGGTCTGGCTGCAGCCCGGCGCGTGTCACTAGAAGCCACCCTGAGTGGGGAGAAAGCAGGTGAGATCCCAGGTCCTGGGGGAGCCCTGCTCACCTCCAGGTCTCGGCCTCACCTCCTCTCGGTCTTTCATAACATCGGAAAGCCCAGGAGTGCAGACTAGAGCTGTCCAGGGACTGGGGGCGTCCAATGGATGGCTGCTAGGGAGCAGCCTTCCCCCACTGTGATTGGAGTTGCCATGGTGACCACTCCTCACAGGGCTCTGTTACCTCAGGGGGCTGATAGGCCCACCCTGGGGGAGAAGGGCCAGGAAAGAGCCAAGGCTTGGGGGCAGGAGGGGCCTTCATGTGTGAGCCACTCTCGTCCACTGGGCACCATGAAGTGCGAGGTTATGCACCAGGCATTGAAGACCCAGATGCCACCAAATGCAAAGGAAATTCTGGGAGTATAAAGGAAATTAGTAGAGAGCATGACTAACTCCGTCTAGGGGAAAGGAGCAGGGCTCGCAGATGGGCCGTTTGGGCAGTATCTTGCAGGAGGCATAGGAGCTCAGCACTTTAGACAGGACTAGAATATTGACGGCATGGGTATGTTTAAGAGCGGATCAGTAGGTCAAGGGGCCTTCACTATGGGAGCCGATGCACAGCGATCAGAGACCACGCAGTCAAATGAAAGCGGGATGGGCCAGCAAGGGGTTTCCCCTTCTCTGTGCGTCTCAGGCCTGCAGACGGAAGTTCATGCAGTAAACGGACTCCTTTTCTGCAGAGTGGAGAGGAGGCAGTGGGCACCAGGGAGTGCTGGCTGGCTCTGTGTCCATCAGCAAGGACAGGGGCAGGGGTGGAAATTGGGCTGTGTGAGTGGTGTCACGTTTGTGAACTGCCCGGCACAGCACCTGGCCTGGAGAGAAGTCACACCACACCCAGCACTGAGCTCACTGCACAGCCACCTGTCCGCCCACCCTTCACAGTCCCCAGGCTTCGAGCCTTGCATCCGCCTCCCCCTGGCCCTGGTCCTGGTCCTGGTCACCCCCTCACCTGTCTTGGGTGACACAAGACAGGTGTCTTCTTTTTCCTTTTGTCCCCTGTATGAATTATACATCACTGCACAGCCATCCTACCACAAGCCTGGCAGTTACACTCGTGTGTTATCTCATTGTTGTGGGGCAGGGGTTTGAGCATGAGCTGGCTGCTTCTCTGCTTTGGGGTTTCAGAAGGTTACAATTAAAATACTGGCTAGAGCCAGGCGTGGTGGCGCACGCCTATAATCCTAGCACTCGGGAGGCTGAGGCAGGAAGATCGCTGTGAGCTCGAGACCAGCCTGGGCTACGTAGTGAGTTCCAGGTCAGTCTGAACTACATAGTAAGACCCTGTCTCAAAAACAAAACAAAACAAAACAAAACACACAAAAAAACCCAAAAAAGATACTGGCTGGGCTGCAGTCTCATCTGAGGCTCACCTCGGGACAAATGTGCCTCCAGGCTCACATAGTCACCAGCAGGACACAGCTCCCAAGGACTTCACTGGACTAAGAGGCCAACCTCAGGTCCTTGTGCTATGGGCCCACAACATGCCAGAGTTCCACAAAGCCTGCAATGCCCTACTTGTTCCCCATCCTCTCCTCTGAACCCAGCCCCTCCATCTCTGCCAGTGCTCCCTGGGCCCCTGCCGCGTTGGCTCAGCAGTTTCTTAAAGAGGCCAAGCACATCTGCAGGGCTTGCTTCTCCACTTCCGCCAGGACTCTGAGTACTTCTGGGACCTTCCATTTTAAGAAACAACCCACCCTTCCACACCCCTACAGCGTTGCCTTACCTTTCCTGCTGTTGCTCTACTTCACCTCCTGTTGCGCTCAGCATATATCTCTTCTGGCTGCGAAGCCCATGTGAAACGGGACCAGGACTGTAGTCCCCTGCCCGGTCCCTGGCACCTGCACCTACAAGTGTCTCGTGGCAGGTGCTCCCTAAAGGTGTTGACTGAGGAACTCAGCCCTGGGAAGGGCAGGAGGCAGGGTCGTCACCACTCCTGACATCTGCTTGTAGGCCACCAAGGCACCAGGAGGGACCTGAAGCCAGCACAAGAAGGACTGCGTGGATCTGAGGCGCCAGGCACCGAGGCACCTGAGCGCAGTCTCCGTAGCTCCCATCTCAGCCGCCCCCAGTGCCCAGCTTTGGGGCTGGGTTCCTCCATCCCAGACATGGTCCATGGCCCTCTAGGACCACATCTTAACCCAAGGAGCCGGATAGTGGGGAGCCGGGAACCCCCCAGTAGATGAGGCCTACAATCCGTCCTGCCACCTCAAGGAGAGTCAAGAGCCTATTTCTGGGAAACAGGAAACAGGAAACAGGAAATGCAGCCTTTTGGGTCCTATGCAGACTCTCTCCCGGGCCCACCTGCATCCCAGGCCTCTCCCTCCACCCTTCCCAGAGAATCTAATTCTGAACCAACAAGGGGGCCTAAGGCAGAGGCAGTGCCCCTTTTGCCTGCTTCTCAGCGCTGTCTCCTGTAAGGCAGGGGCCTCTCTTTGGACTCTACTTGGGAAGGAGCTGCCCCGCTCTCGGGTACTGGGCAGGAAGGTGGTGCCCATTGGCCTTGGCTTGCTGTTTGGCTTCCTAGTACTGTTTCCTTCTTGCCTTTGGGTGCCTGACATGGGCAGGAGGAGGCTGCCTGTGCCAAAGTGGGAGGATAGAGCGGTATCCTCAGGGTGGCTTTCCCAGCAGGTGCTGGGGCTTCCTCCCTCCGTGGAGTCTAAGGAATGTGAAGGGAAGGGAGGTAGGGAGCCAGCGCCGAACTAGAGAGAGAGGCAGGCAGATGCACTGTTCAGAAAAGAAGTTTATTCCAGTGTTCTGAGGAACAGCAAGCTCTGCACAGAAATTCTAAAAACTGTGTCAACCTCCTTTGCCTAAGAACCAGCTGCAGGTCAAGCTGGGGTCACTAACCTGGGGCCAGCCACAGTGCAGAGGACAGACCCACTCAGGCCTTGCCGCCCTTCCCCTGCGGCACACGGGTCTCCGGGGGTGCCCGGCGGAACCACTCCGACCAGGAGCCGTCGTAGACGGCCACATCCGGCTTGCCACAGAGGTAGGCAGCCAGGGCGATGTGGCAGGCGGTGACACCCTTGCGGCAAGTGGCGATGAGGGGCTGTGTGAGGTCCACCTTCTTGGCCTGGAACATGGTGCGCAGCTCCTCTGGGCTCTTCTCGAAGCCATCCTTGGTCAGAAAGTCCATGAAGGGCATGTTCATTGAGCCACGGATGTGGCCCGAGCCCAGTCCTAGGGAGGACACAGCACAGGGGTCAGGGAAGGCATGTGGAGGGTGGGGACTAAGGGGACCCAGAGGCTACCGCCAGACATGGCCAGCACAGGGAGCTTTGCAAATAGAAAGAGCGCCTTTGCACTTTCTGGCACTCGGTTTGTTCTCACCCTTGATGCTGATGCTCACAACTTAAGACATCTGCACCCCTCTTCTAAAGCCTGTCTTGAAAGAGGGTTGCCCAAAATCATATCACTCAGGAAGACGAGGGCACGTTATGAGCATGGGCTCGGCCAACTAGCTGACCATTTCACTGGCCTTTACGTTGGGCAAATCACTCCACCTCTCTGCCCCTGTTTTGCCATCTGTAAAATGGACACAGCGATACAGCCCCAGCTCATGGGATTGTGGAAAACAGCAAACAGAACAAGCTGTTACAGAAGCTCTGTGCTGTGGTGCTTGCCAAGGACACCATGTGAAAGAGAAACAGAAGCCCGGCCTTCCAGGGGATTAGAATCCAGCAAGGAAGACAGATGCTAGATGACTTTATCCTAAATCCAGTATGATGTCACTCCACCTAACAAGTGAATACACTGGCCTTGACAAAACAAAATGGCTCACCTAAGGCCACACAGAGAGGATGACACTGGTCCCCTGGTTTTCCTGTGAGGCACGCGGTTGTGAAAAGAGCATGTGACCTGGTGTTAGACATAAGTTCAAATCCTAGCTCTGCCATTTGCTGGCTGGGTGACTTTAAGCCTCGGTTTCCCTTGAGGTAAGATGAGAATAGGGTATGCCCATGAGCAAGGGGAAAATGACCCAAAACAGCATGGACTACTGAAGCCAGCCCACCCACAGGGCCCTGGCCTCAGGTGCCCAACATGCCCAGGCTGCTGTTCTTCCCAGGCACCCTGCACCTGCAGACACCAGGCACTGGGAGGGCTCCCGATTCGGGTTTACGTCCATCTTCCTGGGCTCTGCTTCCACCCCAAATCCAACCACCACAGTAAGCCCAGACCATGGGGCAGAGCAGGGCCTGGTGACAGGAGTGGGAGGGAAAGGACCCGCCTGGCATGACCAGGGCACATCCTGGAGCCACCTGCAGCATCATGCCGCCAGGCAGGCCCTGCCCCTCTGAGCCTCAGTCTCCCCTCCTGTTGAATGGGGAGAGAGACCCCCTCAAACTTCACAAACACCTAGGGAAGTTTATCCGCTGCAGGTAAAAGTCCCTAAGTGACCCCAAGCACACAGGAGGTGTATACTCACACCAGAAATGTCCCAGGCCCTTGCCTGAACAAAGAAGATTCCACAAGAGTTCCTCTGACTGAACAAATACCCAACTTGTAAACTCCAGCAATACCTTCCTGTTTCAATATCATCTTTTTTGTCTGGAGACTTTAACTTGAGAACAGATGAGTGCACAGACTACTGTGAAAAGCTGCTGGTCCACCAGTTTCCAGAACTTTCTCCCCCAAGAAACCCAGCTTTATGTGATCAGCGATCAGCATGCAGGCCAGGGGCTGGGTTGAGGTGTATTTAGAAGCACAAACATCTGAATACTGTTCAGTTTCCTCCTCTGACAGATGAAAGAAGTCAGGGCTTCTGTGGCACTGGGGCAGCAGCTGAGGGGCTGGGGCCCTGGCTGGGCAATTTCAGCGTGCAAAAGCGAGTGGCAGGCAGTGCAGCGCAAGGTCAGCCTTGGCCAGAACCCTGGAGCAAAGCCAACTGGAAGAAAGGGCCTGGGGCTGGAAACAGGGCCTCCTCTGCTCCCCTCCCACACCCAGCATCAGCTTCACCTCATGGCAGCCCCTTCTCCCCACCCACATACCCTGCTTCTCAAAGCACCCCGACAGTCAGTAGTGGCTTCTCAGGGTCCTTCAATCCCCACAAAGCTGTAGACATTCCCTTCCCAACCCTGCTGGGAAAACCCTATGGGGCTCAGCGAGGGGAGGTAACTTCCCCAGGACACACAGTGTTGTGGCTGTGTCTAGATGTCCCTCACCTGAATTCGATCCCTGGCACAAAAAAAAAAAAAAATCCCTCTTACAAAAGCCAGGCATGGTGGTGCACGCCTGTAATCCCAGCACTCAGGAGGCTGAGGCAGGAGGATCGCTGTGAGTTCAAGACCAGCCTGGGCTACATAGTGAGTTCCAAGTCAGCCTTAACTACATAGTGAGACCCTGTCTCAAAAAACAACAAAAAAAATTTAAATAAATAAATAAATTTAGATGGCCCCTCAAAGCCTCATGCAGTCTTTGTCAAAGGTAGCTAAATCTAGAATGTGTGATGCTAGGATTAAGGGTGTGTGATTACTAAACCACCACATATCAGTGACTGGTTTGGCACCGTCCTCATCCCTGTAGTCTGAATAAGATAAAAGGAGCAGAAAGACACTGTTAAGGTCCTTTGCCTTTTCGACCTTGTCTGGACTATGTTGTTTCACCTCTGTGATGCCTGTTTGCCACCCCTGGCTTGGATTCATCCAACTATGGACTGAAACCTCTATGAACCGTAAATCAAACAAACCCCTTCCCTTTTAACTTAGGGTGTCGAGTGTTTTGTCTCAGCAATGAGAGAAAAGTAACACACACAGCAAGAATATATGAGGTCAGGTCGGTCAGACCCCAGAGTCTGTGTTCTTTGCAACCTTAAGCCTCCTTAGAAAAGGAAATTGAGGGCCAGGGATTTAGCTCAGTGTTGCTGCCACCTGCCTCACCAGCGCAAGGTCCTAAATTCAATCCCCAGTACCATAAAGAAAGAAAGAAAGGGAAATTGAGGCAGGATTACAGATGAGATGTCCTCTTGTATCTCAACTGCACAGATCTAGAAATTTGATCTATAGGTTAGGCAAAGAAAATACAAGTCAAGAGCCAGTGAGTTCCAGGTCAGTCTCAACTACATAGTGAGACCCTGTCTCAAAAAAAAAAAATAGTCAAAATGGTGAGTTTACATTCTTCAGGCTGCAGATAGGTGTGGATTTTCAAGGCCAAGAAACCTGTGTGGCCTTTCAGGCTTCCCTGCTGAAGTTGCTAGGGAACCCAGCCCTGTGAGGAGGGTGCCCAGGCAGTGTTCCTTGGTTCCGTGAAGCAACAGCCGGCAACCGCTTGGTGCAGCGACCTTTCCCCAGCTCCTGTGTTTACCACAGGTCACCCCACCCACAGCAGTGGCCTTGGGGAGCAGCCGGCTTTGATGCCTGCCGACCCAGGGTCAAAGCTTGGCCACATTGCCCGGCTAGGAGAGAAGCCCCTTCTCCTGGCCTCACCTGAGGGTCGAGACCAAGCCTGCCCTGTCCCCTCCCCCTGAGGCCGCTGCAAAGACCACATGTGAAGCCACACCTAGATGCACACTCGGGAAGCTGATTCCTACCCCGTTCCCCCACCACAGGAGCACAGGGCAGGGACACAACACTAAGGCCTCAGGTGGGTAGAAAGTGGCCTCAGGTTTCTAAGGCCCTGTTCCCAGCTCCTCCTTGGGGTCACTCCCTGCAGGCCCCTCACTGTCCCCACTGACTCCCCACCCTGCTTTACCTCTGGACCACTGAGCCCACAGGTGCCTCCTTTACCCCACCCCCGATGGGGGACCTGAACCCGGCAGAACCATATGTGCTTCGGAGTCCCCACCCATTTAATGTAGGAAGCAGCAAGTCCTCCTAGAGAATGACAGAGGGAGGTGGCATGTCAACCTGCGTCTCTCTCAATGGCCCTGGACGTTGATCAGCTCCTTATCTCTTCAGAACTGCAGTCACTGCTGCATTTGAATAAGTGTATACCTGCCCAGGTGGGTAGGGTGACAGGACTCTGATCATTTTATGACAGGGGAACCCAAGGCCAAGCAACTGGACTAAGGTCACAGCACAAAGGGGTGCTGCGCTAAAGTGAGAAGGGATGCTCTCTGCAGCTCTCTGGAAACTGCTGGAGGAGGTGAGGGTAGGGCCACAGAAGGAGCCAAACTTCAGAATTCAGGACTCTCAGGAGACATCGCCAGGAGTAGGCTATTTCTCTCTTCACCTCAGTTTCCTCATCTGTACAATGGGCGTGATATGAGTAGGCCTGGCATCACTTATTCTGCAATTGGCTTCCAAGCAGGCTGGAAAACAGCCAGAGAACTCCAAAGCTCTTTTCCCCAGGGGAAGCCTAAGAAGGGGCCTGAACCAAGGCCAGGAGAGGGCTGTGAGTGTCCTGTGCCAGGAGTCTCTGGCAGGTGCCAAACGAACTCGAATCTTTTACTCCAGATGCTCAGACAGCAAGCCAAGCAAGGAAAGCAGGGGGCTGAACAAAGCTGGGCAGGGAGGGCAGAGCCCTGCATTCTACTGGCTCTGCCACTAATGGGTCTTGACTGCCTCAGCCTCTCTGTGCCTCAGTCTCTCCTTTGTTTCAGACCCTGCAGCTCTAAGACTGTGCGAAACAGCTTTCCCCCCTCAGAGGCAGACAAGGGAAGAGACATTTTGCAACAAGTTAGGCAGAATGTTGCACTGCAGTTAGATCCTGCAGAGGGGCTCAGGCTGAGGAGAGAGCCACCCAGGAAGGAAGTATTGGCCACTAGTCCTGTGCCCTGTGCCCAGGAAGGGCAGAATGTAAAGTTCTTTCTGGGAAGGAGCATCTAGAACTCAGTACTTCCCCTTCTGAGACTGCCCTTGCCCCTCAAATAATGTAAACCCCTCTGGGGTGGGACAGAATGGGGTACACCTAAGTTTAGAGCACTGGTTTGAAACACGGAAGTCCTGGGTGCAATCGTGTCTGAGCCATCGAGCAAGTGGCTTAATATCCTGGCATCTACACCTCCTTGGGTGGGATAACACAGTGCCAAGCGTCTGGCATGAGCCGGCAGCTGCTATTAACAACTCAGACAACTGTAAACAGGCTGCAGCTGTTCAGAAAGATTATCAACCAAAGGTTTGCCCTTGGCAAGCACCAGTCTGGGACCCAGGGGAGCTGGGAATGGCACTGCTGGTGGCTGCAAGGGTTTCTTAGAGACTCAAGAAGCCAGAATGCCCTTGGGAGACTTCTGTGAGCGATACAAATGCTGGCTCGGGCATGACACTCTTCAATACACCCTAGTGCGCACGGGGAACTGGAGCCTGGGTATGTGCACTGATGGACACTTCTGCTAATGTTGGGTCACTTGTTAGCACATGGCCACGGCCACTCATACATAGGTCCTTGTGCATCGGAGCTGAAACAGTCTTTAGTCTTAGGTCCACCCTCTCATTTCAAACATGGAAAGACTCAGACCAGTGGAGGAGTCCGAGGGCAAAACCCAAAGAAGGTGCCAATCATCCTTACCCCGTCTTCCCCATGGACCACCTACCCACCAGGACACCTACCTACTGCATCTGGCTCTGGCTCTGTGCCCAGGTACCGCCCTTGGGCCCGTGAATCCACCAGCTGGAACCTTTTAGATTCAAGATTCTCCAGGACCTGCTCATAGGTTTTGAGCAAGGAGCGGTCCAGTGTAGCTTTGAAAACAGCAGGCTCTGGGTGTGAAGGTTCAGATGTCACGGGGTGTCCCTCCTTCAGCCAGTTCCGGAAGCCACCATTGAGCACTGACACCGTGCGGTGGCCAAACACGCGGAACATCCACCAGATTCGGGGAGCATAGAAGCAGCCCAGGTGGTCACCGTCGTACACCACCACGTGGGTGTCGTTGCCGATGCCCAGGCGGCCCACGTAGTCCCCGAAGTGCGCCTCGCTGGGCAGCATCATCTCGTAGGGCGACGCCGTGTCCCGGCATTCTTCTATATCAAAGAAGGAGGCGCCGGGCACGTGGCGCTCTTGGTACTCCTTGCGGGCCTCCCGGGTGCCCGGTGAGTACCAGGATGCGTCCAGCACCCGCAGGCCGGGCCCCAGCTTGCCACTCCGGATGGACTCCGCCAGCCACTTGGTGGAGACCAGAGCCCGGTAGAGCACCTGCTGAACCATGGTGGCAGCTCTGCGTGTCACCTGGCGCGGGTGGGAACCGGGAAAGAGACAGGCCTGAGAGGACTGTGTGTGCTGTGGGTGGGGATGGGAGGTTTTCCCCAGGGCACTCACCCAGAGTGTGCTGTCAACAGCACTCCAGCGGGACTGGGGCCCCAAGCTGGCAGGCCTGCGGAAGCCCTGGCAAAGCCGGCCCCGCCCCCTCGGTCCCGGTCCGGCCCTCCGCGCAGAAGAGGGTGGGGCAAAACTTTTTGAGCTCCCCTTTTAGAGAGCAGGCGGGGAAGGTGTCAGGCACCCGCTCTGCGGGTCCTGCCGGAAAGGAGCGGTGATCAAAGCCTAGGATGGGGGAAGACGGGCAAAAGGGTGGACTGCGCTGGAGTCCCGCGCGCCCCGGCCTGCGCCCTCGCCAGCGCTCCTGCTCCCTCTCTCGGCAGCCTGGGCTCGCTTGCGTGCGGTCCCCAACTCTCTGCCCACTGTCCTAGTTGGTTCCGGGGTTTCCGGGC